ATACTTGTCTTCCATTTATTTTGTGGCTATTATATTTTTAGATAAAATGCCTTTAACAGGAAAAAATACTATATAAACCCTCCATGACCAAAGAAAAATAAAAAATAAAAATAAAGGACAGCATATCATAGGCAAATATAGCCACAGAGAGGAGATTAAATGGAATGGCCATGTGAATAAAACACTTCTCTCCTTTCACATCTGATATCCACAGTGGGACATACGAGTTTGAAAATTGATTCCAAAATATAAGTTTTTAATGAGTGTATATGTTATCCCACTTATAGAAGTTAAGATGAAAAGAATTGCCCTTACACTTTCCACACACTAATAAAATTACTTAATTTTTTATTAGGGAATTATGTAATTTTTTCTGGTGGGACAGTAAAATGTAAGCTATTTTGGTAAGAATATTTGTTAAGTTGGTTTGAATTATGTTCCTTTTTTTTTTTAACAGTCTATGGGTATGAATAAAAATTTAGGGAAATGTCTAAAAAAGGTAATATGAATATTTGTAGAATAAGTGAACACACAAAGTCATATTTTTAAATTTATTTAAAGTTTATTAATTTTTAGAGAGACAGAACATGCACAGGGGAGGGGCAGAGAGAGAGGGAGACACAGAATTCGAAGCATGCTCCAGGCTCTGAGCTGTCAGCACAGAGCCTGATGCAAGGCTCAAACCCACCAACTGGGAGATCATGACTTGAGTCCAAGTTTGACTCTCAACCGACTGATCCACCCAGGTGCACCACGAAATCATTTCTTTAGCTATAATATCAATGGAATAGATCTTATCATATAATAATTGGTTTTTCATACATAAATATGATTCTATTTATTTTCAAAGGAGGATGCATTTATTGTGAGGGCACCATGTTACAATTTTTTATGCATGAAATTAATTATTTAACTTTTGTAATTTATGAATTAACTCTTATTATATCATTTTTTAAGACTAGATTATTTTAAATTTCAGCATAACTCTTTGAATAGAATTCTTTCTGACTGATAAAATTTTTAAATTTATTGTCTTATTTATAAATAAATGTACATAAGCCAAACATAACTGAATACATTGTTGCTATTTTTATTTGAACAATTATCTGTTAGTTCAGTTAAGAATAAAAAAAAAATAGGAGCATCTGGGTGACTCACTTGGTCAAGCCTCTGACTCTTGGTTTTGTCTCAGGTCCTGAACTCAAAGTTGGTGAGATCGAGCCCCATGTCCAGCTCTGTACTGACAACAGGAAGCCTGCTTGGCATTTTCTTCCTCTCTCTCTCTTTGCCCCCTGCCCCATGTGCTCGCTCGCTCTCGCTGTCTCTTAAAATAAATACACTTGAAAGAAAAGAATTTTAAAAAGTTTTTATTTCACCTTCTCTCTCTCTTTTTTTAAAGTACTTCTCTTAATGTTCTTCACTAATGCTCTTTCTTTATGAGGATCCAAGTTTCTCCTGATAATTTTCCTTCTTTCTAAAGGACTTTTAACATTTCTTGCAGCAGGTCTGCTGCCGACAAATTGCCTCAATTTTTGCTTGTCTGAAAAAGTCTTTATTTCTCCTTCGCTTTTGGTGGATAATCTTGTAGGGTACAGGATCTCTGTACAGGGGTGTATTTTTCCCCCTCATTGTTTTAAATATTTCATTCTGCTCCCTTCTGGCTTGCATGGTTTTTGAGAAGTTAGTTGTAATGCTTATTATCTTTGTTCCTCTATGTGTTAAGGTTTTTGTCCCATTTCTTTCAGGATTTTCTTTTTCTTTTTTCTTTCTTTTTTTTTTTTTTGCCTTTTATTTTCTGTAACTAGTAAATGGTATGCCAGCATATAGATTTTGTTTTTGGGTTTTTTTTTGTCATTTATCATATTTGACTTTCTATGAGCTTTCTGGATCTGTCATTTTGTGTCCAAAATTAATAGGGTCATAATAATTCCAAATATTTCTTCTGTACTTTTCTCCCTTTCGTCTTCTGGTAATCCATTACATGGATGTTGTCCCACAGTCCTTAGATATTCTGGTATATTTGTTTTTTGTTGGTTTTCTGTTGTTTTTTTTTGTCCTTGTTTTCTCTGCCTTGCAGTTTTTAAAGATTTTATTGATATGTTCTGTAGCTCAGAAATTCTTTTCTGATTCATGTCCAGTCTACTATTAATTCTATCCAACAGCATTTTTCATTCCTGTTATAGTGGGGTTTTCTTAATGTTTATTTATTTTTCAGAGAGAGAGTACATGCTTATGTAAGCAGGGGAGGGGCAAAGAGAGAAGAAGAGAGGATCCTAATCAGGCTCTGTGCTGTCAGTGCGGGGCCCAAAATGGGGCTTGATTTCACAAACCTTGAGATCATGACCTGAACCGAAATAAAGAGTCAGATGCTTAACTGACTCAGCCACTGAGGAGCCCCTAGTGTTTTTTATCTGTAACACTGGGTGGGCATTTTTATCTGTAACATTTGGATCTTTCTTACGATTTCCATCTTTCTGTTTATAGTGCCCATCTGTTCTTATATGCTATCTGCTTATCCATTAGAGTCCATTACAGTCCTCCTTAACATTTTAATCATTATTTTAAATTCTTAGTCTAATAATTCTAATATTCCTGCCACATCTGGTTTGATGCTTGCTTTGTATTTTAAAAATATGATTTTTGCCTTTTGTTATGCCTTGTGATTCTTTTCTTGATAGTCAGAGATAATGTATCAAGTAAAAAGGAACAGCAGTAAATAGACCGTTAGTTATGTGGTGAGGTGTGGGAAGAGTGTAAGCAATCTGAAATGGCCCTTTGATCAGGTCTCAGGCTTTTAGTAATTGTAGGCCTTTGAGCTGATTTCACAAATGTTTCTTATTTTTATTCTCCCTGCTTAGCCATGGGACATTATGGCTAGAGTGTGTAGGCTGGAGTGTTGGGTATTTTCCTTCCCTACATGGAAAGCTAAAGCTAGTTGAAGTCAGGTTTCCCTTCCCCAAGTGAGTCCGATTCTAATAACACCCCAGCACATTAGGCTCTAAACAGTTTCACCTGAAAGCATGCCTTGTTAAGAATAGCATTCTCTGGTCTATCTTAAATGGTCCCTTTCTCCTCCAACTGCTGGAAACCCAGGGGTATTTTCCTGTGAGACTTACTATGGGAACCTGGTTGATCAGCTCAAGGTAAATCTCACAATATTGTGGGGGTCCCTCTAGACTGGGGCCCCTGGAATTTTTAACTCTTAGAGTGTTCACCACACTCCTCCAGTAAGGGTAGAAGAGACGACTTTTAAGTTCTTCACATGTCTGAGTTGAACTGAGTCTTCTATCTAAATAAAATTCTGCTTTTTTTTCTTTTCTTTTTTGTCTTTTGGCTGTGTGTTGTTATTTTATTTTTGCATATGTCTCATAGTATTTTTATGAAACTAGGTATCTTTTTTAGGACAGCAGAGACAGATAAATTGATTCTATACAAATGTATCTGTCTTTTCTTCTTCTAGGCCTTTGGTGTGGTAGTTTTGATTAATCTATACAGATGTTTTTCTGGTGTGTGGTAGTGGTGGCGGGCACTATAATTAACCTCAACATATGTCAGCCAACACATGTCTTGAGGCATAATTTGTGATTAAGTTGGGAGCATAAGAGTTTTCTCCCCATCTACTCCACTACCAGCTTTAGGTCTTCCTTTTACGTTACATTTCTATGGGGATTATCTACAAAAACAAGGGAACACTCCCCAGGGAAATACTGTAACTTTTTACCTGATACTTGCTACCCTGATGCTTAAGATCATTCTGATTAAACCACAGGCAGGCATTGTGTCCCAGCATCTCAGAATTTTGGACTTCCCAAGGAGCTGAACTTTTTCTTCTCTCTAGTACTAGGCCCAGAAATTATCCTATTGCTTCCCATGTAGTAGAGGATATTTTTCTGTTCTCTTTCTCCAGCAGCATTGAACTTACACCTGTACCATCAGAATATGGTTTTGTTGCCCTTTCCCAAAGATATAGACTTGTTTCCTAGGGGAGCTAAAGCAGAAGGGTGCTGGCCAATTTTGTGCCCCTCATGTAGCCTATGCTATTCTCCACTTCAAGGTGTGTACTATGATGGACACTTTCTCAGGACTCTGGCCAATACTCTGTATCTAGTGAATTATATTGTGAAAAAGTCATCAAGACTTTGCAAACTCTCCTTATGTGTGTAACATTCTAAAGGCTCCACATTTTCTCATAAAAATTCTGAGGACACTAGTGGAAAGCCATTAAAGCTGAGGATACAAGAACAAAAGACCACTATTAATAAGGAAAGGGTATGGATAAGTGCTGAGCCCAGAACCAGATATGAGAAGTAGAAAGAACAGGGCCAGAACACCTAATCCTTTGAGACTAAGAGATACATTGCCTGCATAAGACAGGTTTAATCAGACCGATATTCCTTGTCCCCACCATCTGGGTAGCAATATTGGGTAAAAAGGAACTATGGATACCTCTAGAAGGGCTCCGTTATCTCCATAGTCATCCATACTAGGACAATACTAATGGAAGATCCACTCCAAACCTCCAGCAGGTTATCTTATCTGACATCTTCATAGTCCAGCATAGCTCTGTCTGTTGCAAGTAATGTTCAAATCTCTGTGTATCCCTTCAGATGCCTGCCTCTCCATATCTCAAAGACTGATTAGTAGTCTTTCCAACTCAACTTTTTGATAGTTTCAAGTAAAATTGTGAACTTGTTGTTTTCCTGGCTCTTTGTTGTTGTTGTAAGATTGTGACACTCTTTCTAGGTCTTTGCACCTTTAAGTAGAAATGTGATATCCAGTAAGGCTTTTTAAAAAATTTATCTGGCTTCCTAAGATTTATTTTTGGTGAGTGGTTTACTATAAGTTGCTCCTTGATAGCCTGAACAGGAAATCATGTAACCTTTTCCCTCACTTATGTGATTTGTTGTAGACTCTTTCAACATTCACAATAATTTGTTTCTTCAGTTTTCAGGTGATGTCATCAATTTAAAAACATTTCTTCACCTTTGTCTCATTTGCAGGCTTAACCGTGATTCCTCATAAAAGCTTTGGGGTAACGTGAAGGTGTTTGCCTCTTTATGTATGTTATTTCTGACTCTATCTGTTTCGTCTCTCTCTCTCTCTCTCTCTCTCTCTATATATATATATATATATAAATATACATACCTTATTTTGTTTTGCAAATAAACTCTAGCTGCTGCTCCAAAATGCTGGTTTTATTATTTATGCAACAAATAGGTTAATGTGTGACTCTTGTAATGTTGCTTTAATATGAATCCAATTTCAATAATTCTTAAAAAAATTTTTTAATGTTTATTTATATTTGAGAGAGAGAAAGAGAGGGAGTGTGCAATGGGGAAAGGGGCAGAGAGAGACCTAGAGAGAATCTGAAGCAGGCTCCAGGCTCTGAACTGTCTGCACAAGAGCCTAATGTGGGGCTCGAACTCACAAGCTGTGAGATCATGACCTGAGCCAAAGCTGGTCACTTAAACAACTGAGCCCTCCAAGCACCCCTCAATAATTCTTATAACTTCATTCTGAGGGTCAGATAAGCATGTTTTCTTAGAAGACAGTTTCATGGAAAGCATAAAACTGAGGGTGTACCTTGTATGAATTTATCAGTGCTATAGACTGAATGTCTATGTAACCCCCCCCCAATTCATATACTGAAATTCTAATATCCAAGACAATGGTGTTTGGAGATGGGGCCTTTGGGGGAAAATTAGGTCATGAGGTTGGAGACTTTATCATGGGACTAATGCCCTTATAGGAAGAGATAGGAAAGAGCTGTTTCTCCCTTTCTCTCTCTGTCTCTCTGTCTCTCTCATGCTTCTTCGAAAACCATGAAAAGTGTGCTCACCAGACACTGGATCTACTGGCACCTTTTACTTGGACTTCCCAGGCTCCAAAACTGTGAGTAACACATTTTTACTATTTCAGCCCATAGCTTATATTATTTTCTTATAGTGGCCCAAACTAAGACAATTGGTATTGTATTTTGGATTATTATTTGCTCTGTATCAACTTTGGGCTTGCAGCAATCATGGTGTTGACAAAGTGAAGGGGGAAAAACATTTATGAGGCCACTTTGGAGGATAATTAAGTAAGAAGATTGTTCTCTTTGACTTAGGGTTATCTCATACACTCTTTTACAGCTTGTGAATTTAGAGATTCTTGAATTCCTTTGTTAGTCCAGCACTTATGTTTGTATTTCCATGTACACAAATTTCTTCCAATAAGAGATTATAAGAATGAGACAGGAATGATATTCAGAAAGTCTTTCTGTTTCCGTAAAGTTGGAGTGGATAAAGTTAGTATTATTATGTTTCACGTTCTTATGAAATATTCTAATGTCTGGGTAAATTTCTCAAATTCTGTGCAATTTGGGTCAATGTTCTATAGCAGTTTCTGAGACTTTTCTGCTTATCTCAACATTTCTGATTCCCTAAATCCACCAGCAGGCTGTGTCCATTAGAGTCAAGAAAAATCTTTCTCCTCCCTTCATTTTAACATATTGATAGATTTTAATTTAACTTATCTACGAGGTTGTCATACTTTATGTAAGATCTCCTTTGATTCTTCATGCCAGTTTGTCAGGTGGTGATTCCAAACTGCTACACTTGGCTTGCAATCTTTAAAATGTTACTTGAGTTTGAGTTCTATTTTAACTTTCCACCGTCATTCTTCATGAAAGCTTTAAATGAAATATTGACATTTCCCATATTCATTTAGAATATTATATGCACCCTCTGCAGTTCTTCACATTTTTGCATGAAATAATTTCAAACATAGGGATATATAATATTATAGATAATTCTTATCAGTTTGAGCTTTCCCTGACAAGCTATTAGTCTTTGGAATATTTTACCCAATGCTATGATGTACTGTCAGAGAGGAAGCAGAATTCATTGCCTCCAAATTCGTTTGAACAGTGATAGAACGTCATTATAGGCATTTATCATTTTTCACACGCTCAAAATTTTGGTAAATGAAGTGCATCTGGTCTTCTTTTGGGTCATCTAAACAATATAAGTGTGGGGCTCCTGGGTGGCTTAGTCGGTTAAGCGTCCAGCTTTCGCTTAGGTCATGATCTCACGGTTCGTGGGTTTGAGCCCCGCGTCAGGCTCTGTGCTGACTGCCAGCTCAGAGCCTGGAGCCTGTTTCAGTCTGTGACTCCCTCTCTCTCTGACCCTTCCCTGCTCACGCTGTCTCTCTCTCTCTCTCCTAGAAATAAATAAAACATTAAAAAAAAACAAAAATAAATAAATAAACAATATAAGTGTGAAGTATCATTTATCAGGCTTCATAATGAATTAATGTTTTGTTTATCTTTATGATCATTGTACCTGTCAAAAGCTTTACTAGCTTCAGTGCTTAAAATCTATGAAAATCTGAGGGTACTACTGTTGAGGGGTTAAGTATTGTTGAGGAGTTAATATGGGGTGTTATTGATGTAATATGCAACTCATTATTATTTAATTTATTATTTTTTTTTACTAAACTGGTCACCATTTAAATGAGAAAATAGATTAATTATTTTATAAAAAGTAAGTTGCATGTTTATAGGAGCATTTTAATGTTCTTACTTCTACATGGCCAGCTGCTGGGAGAGTACTTTATGTACATAAAGGGCTTACTAACTATTGTTGAAGTAAAAATTTGAATACATTTTTGAATTTGATTAATAGTATTTGAAAGATTACGTAAGTGATTATCCAAGATTTGGTTTCAGCTTTGATTTTTGATAAATCATTGTTTTTTGGGACCTCAGTTTCATTAGTAGGGTTAGAGTGTTGAATTTATTGGCTTTCAAGGTAGCTCTTAAAACAAAAATGTCAATTATTTCATTTATTTTAGATGTTCCTAGAAATATTTCTTCTAATCCTGTCTTCAATTTTTGCTTCTCAAATTAGTGACACCATGTTATTTTTCTTTTTACCTTATGGCATTGTGGATTAAAATAGAAACTTGGAAATTATCACTGTCAGGTTAACATACAAGTGAGCATAATTCTTCTAAACTGGTTATTGATTCTAGATTGTTTTCTTGTTTTGAGTGATTTTTCAAATAAGGGTGTAAGATATATGCTTTCATTTCACAATTTATAATTTCATCTCTGAATAAACTGCTCAGGCTATATAATATGGAATATATAATAGCTTAAGCAAGGATTGAAAGTAGTAACTCTTAATAAGTTGAGTATATTTAGGAATCTATAAAATTTTGCCTCCTATCCTTTGATAAAAATTTACAAATAAAATTCTAGAAGTTAAGATCAAAGAGATTGCCCTGTTTGAGGAGTAATGCTGGATATTGAGTAATTAAGTGATAATATGGTGCCATCTGGTTCTGATTCATTTACTTTTCATGAAAGAACAAAATGCAATGTTACATTGAAAGATATATATAATCATAAATTATGATTGTAGTTTTTTCTATAATATGAATTGGAAAAAAATATTATTTTGGGATTTCTAACATATTTCATTAAAGTAGATGGTAAGTTTAGGATTTAATCATGGAATGTATGCCACATGCAATTTAGAATTATTTTATATTTCAATTAGCTAATAAGCTTAGTGATATATATCATCTTAAAAGAAGTTATAGCAAAGCTGATCATTTCAATTTAATAACTAATTAAACTTAATATGAAAGACTTGGCTTAACTGCAAATGTTCTTTAATTTTATGAAAGATCATATGAAAGTATTAAATTATTTTGTCATTTGCTTTGGGACAAAAGTTATGAAATGAAAGAGACATTTTTTCCAGTCTAATAAACAAGTTTAGTAATTTAGAGCAATTTCAGTTGCCTTTTAAAGAGTTCTAAATATGAGGAAATTAATGAAGAAGTAATACTGACTTCATGCAATTTTTTTAGACCTGATTAAAGCTATTCATAATCATGTATTAGGATAAAATTTTACCTACTATATTCTGACTTTTTTTTTATAGATTCTGATAATATCCCTTGGCATGTATAATTTTTTTAAAATCAGAGGTTTAGAATAAATCGAATATACACTAAAAAAATCTATTTTTAAGTCCTTGTGTCTTTAATTTTCATTTAAAACAAATAGTTCTTTGTATTATATGGTTACTTGAGTTTAGAAAATTAAAATAACTGAGAAAAAATATAACATGAAAAATTTAAGATTTGTTACTAGTAAGCAAATATGAAAGTAAAATATAGACCCATTTCTAAAAACAATATATATTTTTACAACAATTTTTTCAATCCATAGATATATTTTATGCTCAGTGTCTATATACATAGACATTGTATACAGAGACAGATGGTACTGTTAACAATTATCTGTATGTACATAATTTACATTATCTTAAATGCTATTTTTTGCATTAATGAGTGGTTATATCAGTGTCCTGAAGAAGTATATGGAAATTTTATATTAACGAGTAAGACAGTATTAGAGTTTTACCTGCTATGTCACAGGTAATAATTCATTAGGGAAACTATATCTAGTATGTAACTATAACCATATGCTCTAGAGAAAGAAACATAGAATGTATAACAAAAAAACACAAAATATAAGGACACAATTATGATCAGATATACCAGTCATATAAATAAATGTGAATAGAACTAAAGCATGTATAAAATAAAAATTATTTTGTTACTCATTTGCCTGGATGGGTTACTCTTTTGTAATTGTCACAAAGACTTTTGTTACATTAAACTTAATGAAATATTCAAAACTATTATGTTCATTTTGAGTGGTTTAAAAATCATTCTTAAGAATAAATTTATATCTGAAATTAATGTTTTTTGATTTGGATTACATTTCAGAATTTTATTAAAACTCCTTTACCATAATTACCAGACATTAAATGAAAAAACCTAAAATCCTAACCTGTCATTAGAGGCTTCCTGTGTCATTACTTATATAACTTAAGATAAAAAAATAATAAATTTTGCCATTCCTTCTTTGACATGAAATTATTTCCTATCTACTACTTAGCTACAAATCATCAACATGTATTCAAAGCCCGCCATGCAAATAATGAGTCTACTGTTGTTTTATCACCGAGTAGATCTGCTGCAGGGTCCTATTATTTTGATTTGTGGATGATTTTAGACACCTAAATACTTCAACCCTCTCTTGTTCTCATAAACCTCACATTGTGTCTTCGGAAAATTGCATTACAAATCTATACAACAAAAGATAAAAGCAGCATCGGGAAAGAGTCAGAGAAGAAGGAAATTTATTTATGGAAATTTCCAATTAATGTGTTTCTTTCTTTGAGAAGTGACTATATTAGAGGCATTTCATATTCTAACAATACTATTATTTTTCATTTTTATTTAAATTCCACTTAGTTAACATACAGTGTAATATTAGTTTCAGGTGTAGAACTTAGTGCTTCGTCACTTACATATAACACTCAAGTGCCTTTCTTAACACCCATCACCTATTTCAGACCTTCCCCTGCCCACCTCCCCTCCAACAACCCTCAGTTTGTTCTCTATAGTTAAGACTTTGCTTTCTGATTTGCCCTTCCTATTTTTTTTTATCCCCTCCAACATATTCATCTGTTTTGTTTCATAAATTCTGCATATGAGTGAATCATATGGTATATGTCTTTCTCTAACAGTATTATTATCAAATGTGTATCATTCTCTTTGAAAAGAGAATTCCTGGCAATTGCTTTGTTTATCAGGAAATACATAGTACAAATAAGTTTTTCTACTTCTGCTTCTAGTTTGAATCTCTGGTGAACAGCTTACTCATTTCTAGAGTAAGCATGTGGCAGTAGTATGAATATCAGTGGAATAATTCTGACATTTGGTTGATAATATTTGCTTTAAAATATATTTACAAAAATTCTGCTTAGTTGATACATAGCTTTTCACAACCTTTGTAAATTTCAGTCACTCAATTTTCTCATACATA